ATATTTTATTATTATTATTATTTTTAAATCTTCACCCGAGGACATTTTTCCATTTCTCTTCAGATAGAGCCAGAGGGAGAGAGGGAGGAAGAGAGAGAGAGAAACATTGATATGAGAGGGACACATTGAGTGGTTGCCACCCACACAACCCCAACCAGGGTCGGGAACAAACTGCAACGGAGGTACGTGCCCTTAGCGAGAACCGAACCCAGGACTCTCTGGTCCGCGGGCTGATTCTCTAACCGCCGAGCCAAACCAACTAGGGCAATATTTTAATATTTTTGAGCATAAGGAAGCTGGACATTCAGAGCTAGAGGGAAGCCGCAGCTGAACCTTCTGAGCTCCACTGCATTGTCCATGGTTCTTTTGTTTGGCAACTCAAGCTGTCATAATAATGAGAGTCCCTATTGCTAGTTGTGCCCAGTGTTTTATTCTTCCTTTGTAGCATAAACCCTGATTTTTAGCTGGACACCTTTGGCTACCTCGAGCTAAGACTATATATTTTTTCAGCCTTCTTTTAGGTCGATGTGGTCATATAACTACATTCTGGCCAATAGATAAAATGAAATGTGACTTCTGGAAAGTGTTCTTAAACATAGAGGCATGTTCTTCTTTCATCCTCTTCCCTCCCTGTTGACTGGAAAACCAGTGATGACTAGAACTTGTGTAGCCATCTTGGACCGTGAGGCAGAAGTGGCTTATTAAGAATGACAGCAATACAAAGGACTCTGGGTTAGAAGGAGCTGCCCTATACTTTGAAGGGAGTTTGTATACAAAAGAGAGAAATAAGCTTCTAAATTGTTTAAGTCACTATAATTATCTTTGTGATACATATTTTGCATATTTATTGAGGTGTAATTGACAATAAAATTGTGAGATACTTAAAATGTATAATATGTGCCCTGGCCAGTTTGGCTCAGCGGTTAGAGCGTCGGCCTGCAGTCCGGAGAGACCCGGGTTCGGTTCCCGCTAAGGGCACGTACTTCGGTTGCAGTTTGTCCCCGGCCCTGGTTGGTCGTGCGGGTGGCAGCCACTCGGTGTGTCCCTTCACATCGATGTTTCTCTCTCTCTCTCCCTTCCTCTCTCTCCCTCCCACTCTATCTGCACAAAAAATGGAAAAATATCCTCGGGTGAGGATAACAACAACAAAAAAATGTATAATATGAGTTAATACATGTTATACGTTGTGAAAGGATTTCTCCATTAATTAACACATACATCACCTCACGTATTTACTGTGTGTGTGTGTGGTCATGTATATTTAAAATTAAGGGCCTGACCTGGTAAGGTTAACTTCTGTGAGTCAATCTTATCTGCATAATGGGACCAATAATACCTATGCCAGCCCAGTGCTAAATGTTACCTAAAGTTAGTCATAAATCCAGAAACAGAACCCAGGGTTCTTGGTGGCCCAGGCTTCTGAGCTCAGTAGTTTATTTGAAAAGAGTCCTGGACCTTAGACACAACCCATCAGTTTCTGTTGGTAGCTGTTGTAACAAGTGAAGCAAACATAAATCGAGGTATATTTATATTATAGAAGCACCTTTCTCCAAAGCCCCATTCCAGATCTACCTTCTTCATGAGACCTTCCCTGTCCATTAGGTCTATAGTGGGTCCCTGGTCTCTGAGTCCCTAAAACACATCTCAGGCTTTGCTTTCAGATATGGTGTCCAAGTATTTGTCTGCTCTGTGTCTCAAATTAGACTGTAACCTCTCAGAGGACAGGGTGTGCAGCCAAAGATCCCTCATAATGATGAGCATGTGTTGGACACAGAAAGAGATGCCTCAAGTATCTGTTAAAATGAATGGAAAGGTTTTATTCTGAATACGAGACAAGGTAAGCTTCCTCTGGATTACACAGAAACACAGATTTATTTGAAATGGGCATCCCTTGCTAGTACTAAATATTTGAGGCCCTCAGGCTTCAATATGGGATATAAAGTATTATTTTTCTTCTACTGAAATATCCCCATGCAAATAGAAGTCCCAAAGGACCAGGAGCATGGCTGAAACTGGACAGACCAGATGCAGGGATAGCTACATTTATTTATAAGCCTAGCCTCCAGGGAAAGAAGGACCTTGTTAATTTCACTCTCTGCTTGGATCAGAAGACTAAGCCTGGAAGAAAGATGCTGTTTGGGACTAATCATTCTCTGGAATTTCTAACCTTTTCTGGACATGGGAGGATTTGGGAGAAGAAAATGCATCATTTGAATGATGGCCATGGTTACAACAGGCCCCGCATGCCAACCAGAGGGAAAGAAAATACTTGCTGAGCAAAGTAACTGGAAAGCAGTTGCTCATATTTTAAACTAAGCTACATGGTTGAAATCCAGAGTAATGTAGACTTTTGGACTAGCGGTGACTTGGAAATAAGCTTTCTGGCTGGAAGGCAGCATGTGGTGTTATGGATGGAAAGGACTATAGCAATGCCTTTTCCCTGGGCATTTGGTGCTGCCAGATAACGGGGGCCATCTCAAGCATATTTACTTACTCCAACAGATTTCTCAATAATTTCAGCAACAGAAAGAAGCTGACCAGCTTGATGGGGGTACATATAACCAGGTGATAGAGTCTGGACAAACCTGTCAGGCTGCCCAGCTCAGTGGTAACATTTCCTTCCTGCTGAGTCCTCGGTGGGTAAACACTTAGGTAGGCACATGTGAATTGGTGTAAGTGCTGCATGAGGCACCGTGGTACTGGACACGTGTCACAGGTCCAGCTGGGCAAATTCCCAGGATGCCAGATCACAAGGGCTGTTTCCAGGAAGGGCTGACCCTTGCTGTTTCCATGCTCTTCCCTGGAGCTCAGTGAAGCTCAGAAGTCTCAGTTCCATTGCAGGCCACTAAAGAAATTCCAAAGGAACACACAGGGAATGTCTAACCATGTGGCTTTTAAGATGGGACATTGCAGTCATCACACGACAGAGACAGAATTAGAATCTGAAAACCTGGGCTTGAGTCTTGAATGTCATTTATCAGCCAAATGAAGCCAGTTAAGTCACAATCTCATGGGGTATCCATTTATTTTCTGTGAAGTTGAATCTATCTGCCACTTGCTAGATGGTGATATTTCTAATTTAACCATTCTAAAGGCTTTATATACTCCATCTTTTTAAAAAATCATGAGGTGGGTGGTATTTTTATCCCCATTTTACAGAGGGGAAAATTGGATCCCAGACAAAGTGACTTGTGCAAGGTTATACCACTAGGTGGCAGACCCAGGATTTGAACCCATCATGTCTAGCTCCAGAGCGTATATCTGAACACTGCACTGTTTCTCAGCAGGGGAAGCTAGGCAAGTCTCTTAGAGGTGTTCTTCATTTTTTGTTTGGGAACTACAAGTACTTTGTTAGTGTTTTGGCATCAAATTCATTTTTTTTAAATCTGAGGGTTTAGGGGAGAGTTGAAGCCTTTTAAGCAGGGAGGGGTGCATTCAGGTTTGCTCTTTGGAAGAATGACTGGCTACACGGTAAAGGCTAGACGGGGTGAGTAAGGGGAGTGGGCAAAACTGAATACAGGAGTTGAGTGGGAAACTTGTTCATACTATCGAGGAAGGAAGTTGTAGGGGAGCAGAGCTAACGGTTGTCAGGGCCTCACTGGCCCAGACAAGGAGGAGTTAAGTGCTGGTGCTGCTTCTAGTCTGGTTGGAGAAAAGAATTTTTCTTGTCAAGTGGGTGGTCCATACCAACAGGAATCAACTCTAAGGGTTGTGCTCCACACAAGAAGAGAAACATGGTTCTCCTGGGCAAATGCAGTGGAACACCTTGCTCTGGTTTGAAACTGGTGTGATGCTGTGGCTAGACCCCAGATGGCCCTCTGGCACCACCCTGGGTAGAGCCTTCCAACTTCCGACTGGACCCTTTGCTGCATGGACCTATCCAAGTGGGCCCCAGGAGAGGTGACCCACCCTCCTCTGACCCATCTCTGGGGTCTTTGCACCCACAGACTCCCCCCCCCCCCACAAGGAGACCAGCGCACCTTTGACTCCCTCTCCCAGGGCTCCTAGGCCACAGAGAGGCTGCCACTTGGCCCTCCAGTTCAAGGCAGGGAGCCAGAATGCCTGGTTCCAATCCCAGATCCACTACAAGGCCCTAGGGGGACCTCTATTCCACATCCACAGGGCTTTCCCCAGGGGACAGATGCCCAGCGGTGCGTCACTTCGTCCCTTCAACAATTCTCCTGGGGCAACCACTATAGGACTTGGGTGTCACCCTCTGTAAGTTTTTTGAAATAAGTGGATGTATCCACTCCCCACTCCCAACACCACTGACAGCCTGCCGGGTAGGGGTCATCCAGTGACTTCCCAGTTCTTCTCGTGTTGAAATAGTGGGTAAGCATATTTCTCTGCGCCTCTGCGCCCCACTACCCTCGTCAGAAAAGTGGGGCTACGAGTATTTTCCCTATTTCACTGGGCTGTTGTGACAACTCAAGTACATGTGCTGAAATCTATACATGCCTAAGACATTGTTATTAACTAAGTGGGCATTCTGGTAGGTTAAGGCTGCTGCAGCTCTCTTAGGCTTCCTCGGACAGAAGGGTGGACAGAAGGTTCTTCATCCCAGTGTCTGCCGGAGCCCACTGCGGCGGAGCAACTGAGTATCTCTTCTCTGTGAGGTTGACCGCGAGCCGCCCCTCTTTCCTCTCTCCCATTGGCTTTCACCTGCCAGAGGGACGACTGCTACGGGCCTCTCGGCCCGTCAATCAGGGCCGTTGGGCTACGCCCCGCCCCTCTCAGGGGTTTATAACGGGAATTCCCATGGCCCAGGCTCTGGCATCCAACCTGCTGCCACCGGGACCCGGCCCAGCCGAGCGACTGCCGCGCGCAGAGCACACGCTCGCACTCCAGCGCCCTCCTTCGCGGTTCATGACCGCGCTCTGCCTGCAGCCTCCACCAGCCCGCGCTGCACCTCCGCTGCCCGCCGCCCGCCGCCGCCAGGGCCCCCGAGGGAAGGAAGGCAGCAAGGCAGGCGCGGCAGTGCGCCCGGCGGAGTCCTCGACCCCTGCCCGCAGCCCGCTGGCACCATGCTGCCCGCGCGCTGCGCCCGCCTGCTCACACCCCACTTGCTGCTCGTGCTGGTGCAGCTGTCCCCGGCTCACGGCCACCGCACCACGGGCCCCCGGGTAAGTGCGCCCCCCGTCGCGCGACCACCTGCGGAGGGAGAGGATGGTCGCTCGCTCTAATCCACCAGGGGCGGAGGGAGGGGCAAAGAGGAAGGGAGGTGTCAGACCTCGCGCCCCCCCACCCCCGACCTCGCCCCCATACTACCCAGTCTCCTGCGGGCTTCTTGGCGAAGTTGCTGAAATAAAACATTTCTCTCATTGTCTATACCCCACCCCCAATCTTTTCTTGCAGCAGCGACTCTGCCTACCCACCAGCCCTCCCAACTGTCACTGGTGGGTTTTCTTTTCCAATCTCTTCTCCCAGGGCATTTTGCTCCAAGACCCTTAGAGGTGCCTCCTGCGTCCCAGAGGCTCGCTCTCCGCTGGAGTAGGGCTGCCCTGTGGTCTCTGCGCCCGCTCCCGGAGCGCTGGCGTTCTTGGCAGGCGGCGGGGGGGGGGGGGGGGGGGGGGGGGGGGGGCGGTCTGCCTCCAGAGTTTTAGGTTACCCGAGAGCCACACAAGGACCTTGTGTTGTTGTTGTTTTAAAAAGCGATCGCTGCTCGTAAAACCCACAGCAGATAATTTTAATGCTCTCTCCTGCTGGGCACAGCTCTGGAGGAGGCTAGAGGTGGGGGGCTGTGGAGAGGTGGTAGAAAGGAGGAGCTCAGAATGCAAGGGTCTCTTCCCCTGGGTTGAGACTGGGAGCTTGGACTACTTGTTGAACCTTGGTCTGATTGGAGTTTCTGAAGGATACGAAACGTGCCAATTCTGTGCACAGGACAGGCAGTACAGTATATTGTAAACTCCCCTGGAACCGACAGCATTGTGTTCATTTCTGGTCTAGATTATTGCCCCCCCCTCACCCCCAAAATTGGTCGGATGAAGAATTCCACTGCCTTAAAAAATGTGCTGTTAAACCACCTCTTGTTCATTTGACCAAAATGTATTTAGACTATCTCTGGCCAGGAATTAGCTTATGTCAGGGCAGTCGCCTCTCAGGGTAGCTCTTGCCTCAATCGGCATCATGGGAGTCCATGAAATAGCTAGGATCTTTGTAAAAACAAGGTTAGCTCCTTAACTAACGTGTGCTTTCCTGGATATCCTTGGGCCTAGCCTCATTACCACCTGTTCAGATTGCAGGTTCTTTATTCATAGCTCTTGCTATATGAGAATCGTCTTTATAGCTGTCGTGTGGAGAGCAAAAGCCTTGCAAAGTTTGACGAGCTTTAATGACTGCCCAGATGCTGGCTGATTACATCCGAGCCCAGCTATCACTGTGAGATCAGATTTGCAGCCACTTAGGAAAGAAAAGTGTTTGTCCCCGTGTTGGGCCGGCCCTTGCTTTTATGACCAGATGTGCAACAGCAGCAGTTAAAGTGCCGCAGATTAGATCCAGGGCGTGTCATAAATCCTCGACAGCAGGCATTTCTAAAGCTGGGGCAAGCAAGGGCTCCGGGAGTGACTTTTATGGATGCAGTTGAGGATGCCTTTTAAATGAAGCTGCTTGGTTTGATATTAGGACTCACAGCTCTTAAACTCTGGGGTCAGGAGAGCCATGGCATTCCCTCCAATAATTAGGAACAGTCAAGAAAGAGATGCAGACCAGAGCACCCCGACTGAAATCTGGATGCCCGCCCACATGAGAGGCCTGGAGACAAATGGTGGGGGGCTCTTTGCTGCTGGGCATGTCTAGCATCTTAAGCCATATGGCTCTCCTTCCCTGACTCCTGAAAATTGGAGGAAGCAACTTTTAGGGGAAAGATAGAGGCTTCAGGGGAAAATAAGGGCATTGGTTAGGTTTCCCTCCAGCTTCTTTAGTTTTTAACTCAATAGAAGTGATAGAACATAAACAGGAACTGTGAATAAGTTTGTGTGTGTCCCAGCTGCATCCCCCCCCCCCCTCTCTCGTGTGTGTTTAGAAAGGACCCAGGGGAAGCTGCTGTCTTGAGCATAAATGCACCTGAGTGCATTTATAGGTAACAATAAGGCTACCATTTATGAACACTTGGACTAGGTATTTAAGTACATTGAAACCCAGGGAGGCTAAACGGCTTGCTTGAAACACCGACGGGTGCATTTGCAGCTCTGGGAGCCAAATCACAGTTTATATGGGTTTACAGGTTGTGTGCTTGCCACACCCCAAGCAGCTGCAGGGAGTGATCGTCAAACTAGGGATGCCATCGTCATTCAAGGAAGAGAGGGCTCAATGAGAAGATACTGAACCCAGAAGCGTCTGGCGAGTCTGTAAGGAAGCATTAATAAGACTATTTTTGGATGTCTGTATTGCTGAAGAGTGATGTCTTTGAGTTTCCACCTATTCCAAAGACTACACTTCCCTTATGTGGCTTCATGGTGGCCTCTGAAGTGTGGCTCTGATGGCGAGTGGCAGTGTCATAGGAGGAGCAGAAACATCTGGCTTGTTGCAGCATTCCCTTGGGCACCCCTGGGTCTCTTCTGTTAATCTTTTGAGTGACAGAGGCTTAAGGATTGGCATCTTTTCCAGCTGGCTTTCTAGGAAACCGAGAGCATGCCCTTTCAGTTTAACTTTATCTGGCTCACTAATTGAGCTCCCCTGAGGCCTAGACCCCAATCCTTGCCCCCTTATTTGCTTCCTGCCTTCATAAAATTCCTGACATTTGTTTGATGCTGGAAACCAGCAGCGATCAAGTATCAGATTGGATGCTATTATATAGGAAGCACCTGAGTTTTGGTCTCTCAGCTCTGAGCAGCACGGCTACCTGGCACAGGTTAAGATCCTTTTAATTACCAAAGAAGCAGCCATTTCTTTAATCCTGCACAATTTACTGAAAATGTTTCATGGGGAGGATGAGATGGGGGAGGGCTTCTCCCAAGCCGATGGAGGCTGGGTGATGGTCAGGCCAAGCCAACTGTCTTTGTCTAATCCCCTGTCTGCCCTTAAAAGCTGGGATCTGAGTGAGGGCAGGAACTGTGCCCATCTTGCCTGTCGGTATATCCCCAGAGCTCAGCACAAGGGATTGACTTGTAGGTGTTTGTGGAATGAACAAATAAATGCCAATCAGGAATGTTTCACAGTCATCCATGGGTACCCCTTTCTTGGTGTTTTAGCAGGACTGGAGGCAGGAAATAGATTTAAGAAGTTTGAGAAGTGGGAGAAAATGGGAGGGTTCAGAAGTCTGAGTAAAATATTTGATTTCTTAATTGGTTTAGGTCTAGGCTTTAGTTGTCCTCTCTCTTGTCACTTACTCGGTTCATTCTGCAAAACCCAGTTCCAGCTTCACTCTCTAGGAACTTTCCTACTGGTTAGAATCGATCACTCTCACCTCCTTACAATTCCTGTATCTGGTGCCCGTGTGTTCTAACTTCTGCTAATCCTTCTGCAGTGAGCATCTTGAAATCGGGCCAGCATCTGCATCTTTTTAGCACTAACCGGCCCCTTCGGCACTACGTGCATGATCCTGTCTTGTTAAATGAACAAGCCCCAAAACCCTTGAGGGCAGAATAGAGATCTTATTGGTCACACTGCAAAGCATTCTGTAAATATTTATTGCAATGGATTGGGCTGTACAGTGATTTCCAAGCTGAACCCCCTGCTCTCATTTGAACCTGAAATTAGTTACTTACAAGTGATTTCTTTTCTCATTTTTAGGCTTTTGTTCTTTGTTTAAAAATAAGAGTGTGTGTTGCTTATGGAAGGTTTGGGGGAGGAGAGCAAGCAAACTTGGATGGGAAACAGGCTTTAGCTCCACCCTAAATTTTTTTTTTTTTACCTTACATTTGCCAAATGTGAAGCAGCTTCTAGATAGTTCCCTTCCGTTTGACTAGCCTGCCTCATGCCAGGACCAGGGTGGGTGCTTGTATCTGCACAGATGTCTCTCTTATTATCTGACAAGAAACCTTCTTTTCCACGTGGGGGATTTATCTCAGATGCTACTCAGGTGCTAGGGCAAGAACTTGGTTTAAGCGTTTTGATGGAGCTGACATGTGAACTTTAAAGAAACAAAATTGAGGGGGATAGGAGGAGGAAACAATCATCTTCGAACTCTGGGAAATGCAATCAAATGGAAAACACTTTGATATTGTCTCATTATCTTCGAAATCTGAACATGCACATTTCTATGGCCCAGCGATTCCACTCCTAGGTATGTATGCCCAGGAGAAACTCATGCCCACAATACCACAGGCCTGGAGAGAGTCCAAATGCCCATCAGTTGGCAGATGAATAAACTGTGATGTATTCACACAGCAGAGAATTATACTCAGTCAAAACAAATGAATGACAGTGACATGCAAAAATATGGCTGAATCTTGGTAATATGATATTAAATAAAAGAAATGTACCGAAAGATGTCTCACAGCAGCTTTTATAAACTTATAAATAGCTAAAATGAAAGAAAACAACATTTAGGAATATATACAGCTACAATAAAACGATATAAAAAGAATAGCAAGGTAATGACGGACGCAGGACTCGGGGAAGTTAGGGTGAGGCAGGGGGATAGATTGGGGGGGTCATGACCCGTTGGTTAGTGTCAGTATTTTACTTCTTTTTGTGGGGAGGAGAATGAGTTTGAAGGTATTTGTCCAGTAGTAAAGAGCCAATAGCTGATTAAATAAAAAATAAAAGTGGGCCCTGCATGTACCAATGTTGAGTGTGTCATGAATAAAAAAATTACGATTAATATTCTTTTTTTTTTTTAATCCTCACCTGAGGACATTTCTTCATTTTTTATTCAGATAGAGCGGGAGGGAGAGAGAGGAAGAGAGAGTGAGAAACATCGAAGTGAAAGGGACACATCGAGTGGCCGCCACCCACACGATCCAACCAGGGCTGGGGACAAACTGCAGCCAAGGTACGTGCCCTTAGCGGGAACCGAACCTGGGTCTCTCTGGACAGCAGGCCGACTCTCTAACCGCTGAGCCAAACTGGCCAGGGCATGATTAATATTCTCTGCACTTAAGGTCAGACAAAAATGTCCTTAGTAGGGACTCCTTTCTTGCCTACTGCTCCCTCTGCCTCCTTTCCAGATGTGCATGTGGCC